TGAATCTAGCTCAACCTGAAACATCGTAAATTTTTAATTAAATTTATATGCGGTCTAATCCATTTGAAGATTACGACGATCAAGAATTTTCTAAATTCCTAAAGATTTCGAATGATAGAAAATTCAAATCAACGGTTGTCAGTCAGGGTCATTCAGTCACACAGTCTCTCCAACGTTCGTAATCCTGTTCCAACATTTGAGCTTTGGCAGAAGATAACTCGAGTTTGCAGCAGAGTCCATCCATACGTTTGCCCCAGCCAATTCTTGGCCGTCCTCAGAGTCTAAGGCAGGTCGGTTTGGCAAGCAGTATTTGCATTTCCTTCCTTTCTGGAGGCATTCGCAACACATGCCCAAACTATCGCAGCTGTGACTGCTCAATCTGAAGAAGCAGCGACTATACACCAAAACTCGCTCAGTTATCTGTACTCCGGACTACGTCGAGTCGAGTGAGCCCACTGATTCGTTTTAATTAATTTTAATTGATCATTTAGATCAATTTTAATCGCTTATATGCAGGATCGAAGTTTCTGAGTCAGTTTTTCAGTTGATAGCAGCGCCGATAGAATAGTAAAAAGGATTTTAACCATTCGCATTATATTACCATAACATGAACACTAATGACGCCATTATCGGTACAGCATGAGTACTGCAGTTCCAGTACCAATGGTTTTACAGCACAATAGCACAGTACTTGTTTGCTGTCGCAAGTAGTATTCAGAGCTACCTGGAGTATTAGCACTACCTGGAGTAGAATATTGAAAGTGCTACCAACGCTACCACAAATACAAATGATATTTCGGCAGTAGCACTTGTCACGGAATGTGAGAACTTCAGAAAGCAGTTGACTCCATTTCAAACAGAATCTGTTCGTTCACCTCGGCTGAGCAAAAGACAGAAATAATTTTATACCTTTTAATCCTTTCAATAACAAGATTAATAAAAGTACTAAATTAAAATGAAATATGTTTACCATGACAGGAAAAATGATGGACGTCTCGCGAATCTCCTTTACGACACAGAGTACGACAAAGCAACTGATCTGAATAAAGGTGAAGAGGTGAATACGTCTGACTGGCACATGACGAAGATAGACGTAGTCCGGCTGATATTTCATAGGCATCAGAAGAAGCAACAAACGATCGACCATCTGAAAGTGAACACTGGGTTGCCATGATGAAAAAACATGATTATCATTACCTGTACGCCCCAGAGGGACGAAACGCCCATATACAGGAAAACACCGTACAGCACAGGCATTGGGATATGCTAAAGAAGCGGTGGCGACGATCAGGTAATAACAATATACGCGACCGATATATCACATACCTTCAAAACTTCCGTCATCAAAACAGACAGGCCGAGGAAAACGGAGACCATTATACCTGTCACGCGCTGTTCCCTTAAGAAAATAATATTTTAGAACACGAAAGTTAGAAATTAATTACTAAACAGAAAGCATGGCAATTTTGCAGTTCTGTTTCGGTTCAGCTTGTTAAAGAACGATATAAAACTGTGAGCGATGACAAAAAATTTGACAATAAACCGAAAAATGTTGAGGAAGCTGATTCATACAGCAGAGTTCTGTTAGAGAAAACATGCCAGGGAAAAGATTTTATCCATCTTGACAACTTTGGAATACGAGAGATGATGCGCTTCAGTGGTTTTGAACACGAGCACAATGTCGATCTTTAAAATATCTTTTGTGCAAAAAGTTCCAGAAAGAGGTATCGATTCGGTACCTACATGGACAAAACTCAGTGACCTTCGCTCCCCGATCCATGGTTGAAAGAAATAATCGGAAACGGTGACATAAAATCCCTAATTTACCTACAAGCTCGCCAATGAACTTGTCCGATTGAATTAATGCAACAAACTTGACATTACTCTTTGCATAATATTGTGCTATCTTGCGTACAATTTATTTTTTTAATCTGAGACCTATAAACGCCTTTGCAAACGAGGTTCATCACAGAATCAATGACGTCTTAGAATCACAGTTTTTTTTTCGAATTTTCCCGCGCTTTGCACGCGGTACCACATATGTTGTCTTTAAGTGGAAATTCCGCCTGCAAGTCTGACTATTATCGCATTCTCCAATTCCAATAAAAACTAAGAAATTTTGGTTGTATCTTCGAAAGTACGCAAAAAGTAGGGTTACTGTATTTAGTACATTTTGGTCGCTCATTGGAGATCAAAATGTTGCCAAAATATTGTACTACGAAACCGCATTGAAATGAAAAGTTACTGTACATTCAGAGGAACATGAAAATAGAGCTGCCGGTGGACGTTATAACATTAGTGGAGTATATGCTTATCGTTGAAGAAATGAGCGTAATTCTGTATTTTCGTGCGTTGAAATAACCCAGTGCTTTACAGCACTTAAGAAAGAAAGATTTCCACAAGTCAATGAAGCTGTGGTATGTTTTACAACGGAGACACAAGCAAAAGGAATGTCGATCATTGGACAAACAACACAACTGAAAACCAAAAAGATTTCAAAGTACTTCGGTAAACAGGAAATAATTGTTAGACCCCGTCGCGGCTAGCGAGACAGACTCATGCATCTTAACGAGTTATCGTTAACGTGTCAAACATCTATCTGTCAAAAAATTCCCGCAGACCTTCAACAGAAGCTCATTAATTTTCAGCGTCACGTGATCAAATTAAAGAAAAAAATCTATGCGTTTAGTCAAATTGGAAATGGATATGAAACCCTGATATTCTTCGATACTCCTCGATATTACACCGTCAACGTTAAAGAAACCAAAATTATAAGCAGTGTATCACTGTGATGCTATATATCAACGTTGACGATTGAAAGTTGCCATCATATTTAATTTTAAATCGATAAGCCATACCACGAATGACGACAAGGCTAAAGGAAGTCTGGCAATAAGATGTCCTGAAAGTCATCTTAACTCACATAGCATGCTAGTACTTGATGCATTTCGTGGACATTTCTCCGAATAGATAAAAAAAATAAAATTGTACAGAAACGAGGTGACTTGATTGTGATTCCTGGTGGCCTGACAAGCCAACTGTATCTAGTCGAGTTTAAATAAACAGACAATTCATAGATTACTTGAGAATGAACTATGAATCCTGGATGCTGACTGACAGCCTTCCGCTGACACCTTCCAGAAAAATTAAGAAAACGCCGGCATCAAAATTGGCAGAATGAATATCAACAGCTTGGAAGCTATTCCCAGAAAGAATAGTGAAGCACTCATTTAAAAAAAAAAGTTGCATCACCAACGCTCTCGGTGGCTCAGAAGACGACATATTATGGG